CTGCTGACCGGGCGATGCAGTTCCAACTGGGATGGTTTGCACATCCTATTTTTAAGAATGGTGACTATCCTGATGCACTGAAGTGGCAAGTTGGGAACAAAAGTGAAATCCAAAGTCTTCCACAGTCAAGACTTCCTTCCTTTACTGAAGAAGAAAAGAACTTCATCAAGGGAACTGCTGACGTATTCTGTGTAAATCATTACACTACAAGGGTAGTGAGCTATTTTACAGCTGCACTTCAGCCTCACTCCTATGAATCAGACCGGGACATGAGAGAAGCAGAGGAACCCAGTTCACCAACTACAGCCATTCCTAACCAAAAAGCTGTGGCCTGGGGCTTGAGGAGACTCCTCAACTGGATCAAGGAGGAGTATGGTGATCCAGAGATTTATATTACTGAGAATGGAGCAGCAGTAGAATGGGATGACTTTGAAAGAGTAATGTTCTACAAGACCTATATCGATGAGGCTCTCAAAGGTGCAGTGATATAAAAATATTTCAGAAGATATTTAACATTTTCCACCACTGCCATGACTGGTTGTTCATTTATTTTGTATGTATGTGTTTGCATTTGTGGTTACATTACAGCCAATAACCTTGATGGTGTGCGGTTGCGAGGATACACAGCAACAGCTTTTATGGATTCTTTTGAGTGGCTGCACGGGTACAAATTTCTATTTGGGCTGCACCACGTGGACTTCACAAACCCAGATCGTCCAAGAACACCAAAGTACTCAGCTCATTACTATTACAACATCATAAAGGATAATGGTTTCCCCTTGCCAGATGATGAGAAGATGCTTTATGGTCACTTCCGAGAGGATTTCATGTGGAGTTCTGCTTCAGCATCATACCAAGTAACCTATACTTCTACTGCAATTTTACTTTTACTCAATACTGTCTTGCTTCCCTTGTTTTCATCTCTTTAAATTATTGTTTTGCATTTACTGTGTCCAGATTGAAGGAGGATGGAGGGCAGATGGAAAAGGTCTAAGCATCTGGGACAAGTTCGCTCACAGTCCTTCCAAAATATTAAATGATGACAATGGGGACATAGCCTGTGACAGTTACAATAAAATAGAAGAGGATGTTGCGATATTAAAGCAGCTGAAAGTCAGCCATTATCGTTTCTCCTTATCCTGGCCGAGAGTCCTTCCTGATGGCACTATCAATAACATTAACGAGGCTGGAATCAACTACTACCAAAGACTTTTGGACGCACTGCATGCTGCAAATATCCAGCCACAGGTATGAATAATTCCTTTCTGGCAAACAGAAAATCTTTGTGCCAGAAAATATACATGGAAAGTAGATCAAGTCAGCAAGTACAGCCAATTTTCCTTTCCTTTCCTTTCAGGTTACTCTGTACCACTGGGATCTACCACAAGCTATAGAGGATTATGGAGGCTTTTTGAATGACAGCTTTGTTAAGCTTTTCAGGGACTATGCTGACCTCATGTTTGACCGTCTTGGTGACAAAGTGAAAATTTGGATCACCTTTAATGAGCCGCTCGTTGTAGCCCGCCATGGATATGGCTTTGGAGACTTTGCCCCAGGTATGGTTTGAGCCAGTGGTTTCCAATTTTTTTTTCTAGGCCCCCTCCCGGCACAAACACATGATCCATCCACACACACACATATTTTGTTTTCAAATTCAATTGCGGTTTATTTCACACCTCAAACTGTTTGTGAAGAATTAAACAAATAAATGTAAACTAATAAATTACAGGTAGCAATAACATCAACTACCACCTCTTTTACACCACGTCCACACCTACACTGGTATTTTTGAAAACACAGCTTATTCTATGCATGTGGGCCTTTCATCCACACGTAAACTGCAGTTTGGGTCACTGAAAAAGTATATTTTTAAAAACTCCTGCCATGGTGGAGATTTTTTTTATCAACAAAAACAGAAAATCTCTGTTTTCAGAAATACCCATGTACGTGTGGAGGTAGAAAAATAAACCATCTTTATGGTGTAATTATTTTATGTGTAGTTATTTTGTTTTGGTCTTATTGTGTGAGAAAATTCAACATTGCTATCAATACATTTTCCAAAAAAATGCCTCTCTGTGCAAAATGGGTGTAAAAACATAAACAACTGTTACTGTTTGTCCGTGATATGGATATGGGGTCAAGGTAAATATCTGAGTATTTTGAAATAAGCTGTAATCTGTACAGCAGTTCTTCACATTTCTAAACCGTAGTGAAAAAAAGCAAACAAACATGACACATTTGCTGCCTATATGCTCTGTTTTTTTTCTCACCAGGAATCAGTTCAGGACCAGACACTCTGCCCTACATTGTTGGTCACAACCTGATTAAAGCTCATGCCGAGGCCTGGCATCTCTACAATGACAAGTACAGGGCCAAACAGAACGGCATAATCTCCATCACAATCAGCTCTGACTGGTCTGAACCCAGAAACCCTTATAGACAGGAGGACTATGATGCTGCACGACGTGTGGTGGAGGTATGCCAATTCCTTTCAGATTTGACAAAAGAAAAATTAACAGCAGTTAGTTTCAAGTGACTATTATGTTTCTCTTTGTGCAGTTCACTCTTGGCTGGTTTTCCCATCCCATATTTAATGGTGACTACAGTGAAATTATGAAGACAAGAATAAGAGACCGAAGTCTAGCTGCTGGTCTACCACAGTCTCGGTATTATGAAGGCTATTATTAAATCACAAAAAGCTAATTCTGTTCACAAGCGTTTTTCACTAACAACGCTACTTCCATATGAACAGAATCAACTTTTTGGGATTTCCTTACCTGGATGATTGAGCATCCATCAAGACCCTATTATTAAATCTTTAAAAGTTTGTCTGTGATTTTCTAAGTAGCTCTATAGTATAATAAGTAAGTTTGGTTTCACTTAAATTTCTCCAGGTTGCCTGAGTTTACTCAAGAGGAGATTAAGAGAATTAAGGGCACTCATGACTTCTTTGGATTGAACCAGTACACATCTGCCCTGGCATTCCCTGTGGACCATGGAAATATTGCAAGCCTTGAGGCAGACATGTAAGAAGTTAACATTTGAAAAACAACTGTCTTCTAGAACTAATTCTTCTGAACAGCTTTGCTTCTTTATTCTGTAATTTACCAAATTTTGCCCTCCGCAGCGGTGCGGCGACAGTTCCTGATCCCACTTGGTTGGATTCAGCCTCCGTCTGGCTAAAGGTCACACCATTTGGTATCCGCAGATTGCTGAACTTCATCAAAAATGAATATGGAAATCCACCAATCATCGTCACTGAGAATGGAGTCTCAGAGCAGGGACCTATTGATCTAAATGATGTTCACAGGATCTACTACTATGAACAGTACATTAACCAGGTGTTGAAAGGTAACAAAAACCTCCCTTTATAAAAAAAAATCTAAAGCCAGGAATGTCCTGGAGAGGAAAATAACATAATCATGTTTTGTGTGTAATATGGATGCTTTAAAATAGACTATGAATTTCAAGAATATGAAGGTACTTATTTTTTCTTCACAGCTTACTTGCTTGATGGTGTGGATGTGCGTGGTTACACAGCGTGGTCACTGTTGGACAACCTAGAGTGGGCTTCTGGCTTTTCACAGAGATTTGGTCTGTTCTACGTTAATCGCTCAGACCCTAATCTTCCTCGAGTGCCTAAGAGCTCTGTAAATTTCTATGCCACAGTCATAAAGTGCAACGGATTCCCTGAATCAGGAGTGCCTGAACCCAGAGTCTGGAGGTAAAAGAATGAAATATTTGCTTAGATGCCTACTTTGAATGATAGACCTTTAAATTAAATGTTCAAATAAATAACTAACTTACCTGCTGAAAAGCAGGTTAATTACTATCTGCAAATCGTCACAACTAATACGACAGCATTGTTTTTACTGTGTCTCTTCTGCAGCAACAACCACGCCAACAGCTGCACCACCAGTCAACATTAACAGCGTGAAATTCCTTGGTCTGGATCTCTCCGCCGATGATGCTGAGACTGGACTTTACACCACATTTGCTCTACTGATTGTTGCAGTAGTAAAAAAGTCCAAGAAAAGTGAACATGTGGACAGTATCAAAATGGAGTGCAAATAAGCTGATGTGCAGTGTAGGCCCCCGTAAACAGTATTTGATTGCAGACCCTTAAAGACTGAAAAATACTACTAGGCTCATCAGACATAGAAAATTGTAAGTTTCTCATGACTTAGTTATTAAATCCTTGTACATTATAATTTGCTTGACCACTGCTGCAGCATGAAGATTTGAGAATCCCCCAAAATGATTAAAAGTGTCATTTTATCCTGTACTCAAAAAACATAAAAGTAATTTATGTAATAAGAAAAACAATTTTCAGGTTATAGTACAGGATGTAACATACGCCTCAAATTTGAATAATGTTTTTGTATATGTTTATCAGATAATCAAATATATCAAATAAAACACTGCAAAAACATCCAGTGAATTATGTCATGATTGCTGTTAAATGTAAGTACCTTCTTCATCTTCAGATTTTTTTCTTCACTTTTTTGTACAGTGATAAGCAATTTTTGATGGTGATACTGTTACCTTGAAGTAATCAAAATTACACTGTGAATCAAAACAATATATCCATTATATTTATTATATTTGTTTAAACATTTGTTATTTAGCTATAAATCCAGTGGCCTCTGAAATCTCTTAAATCTTTGCAGTTTTTTACTTCAATACATTTGACTTCAGCTGTCTCCATCAGTGTTTCACAAACAAGGAGCAGAGTAACACACTTTAAATTGTTCTTGTTAAAGAGACCTGATGAGAGTAAGTGTCAGGGTACTGTATCTGCTAAGGTTTGGACTTGTATTTGTTTTCCAGCTTCAGTCAGCACTCTACAGCCCTCACCACACTCCCTGCCCCTGGCTGATGCCCCCAGGCGCCGGTGCGTTGGTGGTTCTAAGTGTCTGGGGCTGGGCGCTCACGTATGTACTGGCTCACTCCTGGTGGCTGCTTGGGGGCCCTTAGGCCTCTGGGCCTGCAGCTCGGTTCACTCTGGCGCAGCTGGGTGCCGGCAGAGCCAGCGGGCACATCACTGCAGGCCCCTTTGGCTTCTGCTCCATGGCTGCTGGTTGACCCCATATCTGTGGCTCTTCTCAGCTCCTTCCAGGAGGGCGGCACGGATGCCCCTCCAATGGTCCTCCTTGGGCTTTTGCACTCTGGATGTCATGGGCCTGGATCTCCTGCATGCCTGCTTCATGTCCTGGGGGACAGGGCCATGGCTCCCTACATCCTCTAGCAGATCTGTTTTTCTTCTCTCTTTCCATCCTCTCTTTCTTTCTCCATTTCCAATCCTCCAGCCATGTCTGTCGGGGGATAGAAAAAAAACCCCCCAAAAAACAAAAAACTCTACAGCCAAGGCCAGAACCGAAAGGAGGAAAAATGGGCGACGTAAAGGTATCATTATATTAATATTTATCAGAGTGAGAGAAGTGAAGTGAGAGAACTCTGAAGAATCTGGTGTTCAGTTAAAATCATTTTCAAGGACTGAAGGAGTCAAAAAGCTTTATTTGTCATTCGCATCACATGTTAACATGAGGTGGAATGAAATTATGTACACACGGTCCCGGAGTGAAAAGAAACAAAAATAATGAAGAAACAGAATTATTACATTTTTTTTAAGTTATAAATAAATAGTTAAGTTTGTTATGTTTTTTTTGTTTGTTTTTAACAAGCAGAAATGACAAGTAATAAGACATTACAATAAATAATACTATAACTAGAGTGCAACAACCTGAGTACCAGTATGGAGTATGGGTTTAGAGTGTGGGTATAAATATATATATATTTATATTTTTATATTAAAGATTACTTACATTTTTTATTTGCATGTACTATAAATTTGGAAAAAGTACAAAATAAAAAGTAAAAAAAAAAGATTACTTTCAATCTCTTAAAAACATTTCCAAAAATTAAAATAGAAAACCCTTTTTTTTATGCTGATTCTCACTGCTAATCTCAGAAGCTGTGATTTAAACTGGAGTTGCTATGTTCTGCAGAAAAGGAAGCCAGCTGAAAATAAAGTTAAAGCTTAATTGATTTTAAATATCATAGTTTGCAACAAATATCATGCCACGTTTGACCTCTGACCTCATTTTAACATTCATACATTATCACTATAGTTTAAGGCATTCGAGTTTTGAGGCATTAGGCTCAGACATTATCAGTGGGATTTATTTCTTTGAGATATGAATTTCTTAAACAAAGAAGTTTGAAAATAACTTCTTTGTTTAAGAACCAGACAAAATAGAATGAATATATCAAAAATTTTATACTATTGCCTTAAAAGTAAATATTGTCCAGAGAGTGGAGAAGTACCTTGTTGGAGGTTTGTACTCTCCAGGTGCTTCTTGTTTATTTATATTTTCCACCATGACAGAGCACTTTCTCCTTCCTCCTGCTGCATTAATCGTCCTTTGTCATCATGACCTTTGGGACATGTAGTAAACAATTAGGAAAACGCACCGTCATACTTTCTGCACATCTAACAACTGTGGGCTGCATTTCAAGAAAGATAAAACCTGTGTCCCAGAGTAATCTAATTTCTTATTACCAAAGTAATCAAATTTTCTAAGAACAACCTGAAAGAACATGTGCGTGCGCACACACACACACAAGCAAAGATACTTAAACAAAGAAATTGAAAACAAAAGAAACTGACACAAAGTGCTTTACAGTCACCCTCATTTGTAATCAGGGTCTCCAAGAACCCAGTTAAAAAGTTGGAAGTAATTGAAAAAAAGTCAAATAAAAATCAAAATATAACCAAAATGTAAATATATTATATATAAAAATTCTAATAGTGGTAACACAGTCAACTAAAGCAGCAATAGGAAACATTTATAGTGAGCTCGACCAAACTGAAAATGTGTGTCTGAGGACAACTGAGGAAGTTCAGGGTCTCTCCAAAGATC